CCTTCCAAATCCCAATCTAGGCTAAACCCTCAACCCGACCTTAACCACGCTGGGCCTCACGATCTTCTCCATGATATTCCGAGGAGCATCCTTCGGCAAATGGCTCCACGGGTTGGAGGGGTTCCTTTAAGGGTACTATGGGTGTTCAAGTTTGGGGGTTTCAGGTTTAGGATTTAGCGTGGTGGAAACCGAGCTTCGCTTGTAGCCCTTCGTTGAACAGTATACTAAGTCCCACGATGCTCTCAGCCCGAACATCTAAAACCTAAAGCCCCACAGTTGATGATTTCCATTGCAGGATGTGGTGGAGTCCTAAAGCCCGGTCCTGCTAGGAGTGTCTACGATGGTCTTGATGCTTCTTACAGGCTCAAGGAGTCTAAGGGATGCAGCGCGCTCGTCACCTTTTGCCCCCCCCCCCCCATGTGCACATTATTACCCGTGACCGTGATGATCACAGCTAGAATGTTGATCATTGTTCCGATGATGATAACGAGTCATGCGCTGCTGCCAGCTTACCATGTTCTTCGTCCTCTTGTTGTCGCTATGCTTGCTGCTAGGACACAATTTCTTCTATTTGTTGATTTGGTTCGAAGGCGGGAGTTCTATTGAATATATTGTTCTGCCAATGAGGTACATCGAAAAACGTTTTGCAAAATCAAGCTGTAACTGCTGGAGTCGTGTCAAAATGGGCAGTAGATATACAATAACTGTAAGAAGTAATTCGGTACTAAATCCTTAGGCCAAGACCGAAAAGCCTAAACCTGGCCTAATGTAGGGGCCTTAATTATCAGAGTAAGGTTTTGGGCTGATTTTTCTATAAGAAGCAATCCTGTAAATAATAAAGGTAGTTAATGACGCCCCTATATTCCCTAAACCCTAAACCCTGATTATACTAAACCCTATTTATACTAAACCCGAATTATACTAAGCCCTATCAAGTCAGCCTGGGTCTTCATGCTCACCAGGGCCAGCTGGTCCAGCCTGGCAGACTGCGGGAGACGTAAAACTTGCAACTTTCGTCAAGGCTAAGGGGTTAGGGATTAGGGATTAGGGTTTAGGGATTAGGGTTTAGGGTTCAGGGTTTAGGGATTAGGGTTTAGGGTTTAGGGATTAGGGATTAGGGATTAGGGGTTAGGGTTTAGGGATTAGGGTTTAGGGTTTCGGGGTTAGGGTTAGGCTCGATCGTAATTTACGAGAACTTCTGCCGATTTTCATTTAAGGTTTGATCGGATCGTATGAGACTTTCGTGACCGCTCATTTTATGAACGGGTTTCAGACGGGTACCAAAACGGTTAAACGAACAGCATGTATACGAGCTTCCGGACGAACTTGTTAAGACAGTTCGGCTTGGGGTGTTGCAGTACGCGCCTCTCTATGGCTCGGCTTCGGGTTTAGAGTTTAGGGGCTACCCACCCTCCCTTTCTACGCAGACGCCAAGGTTTTGGGGTGCAGTGCAGCTCGTAGTTGCGGGACGGAAGGGCCCAATCTTTGCGATGAACGTCTTTAGAGTGCAGGACCCACGCCATACCCTAAACCATAATCCCCAAAACCTTAAACCCTAAACCCTAAACCCCAAACCCTGAACCTCAAACCCCTAAACCCTAAATCCTAAACCCTAAACCCCAAACCCTGAACCCTAAACCCCAAAACCTGAAAACCACACCTCTTTCAACTAAAGGATCACTCCTTGGGCTTCTGCTGTAGGGCTCTTGGTTTTTATCGGGTTCTTAGGTGCAGGGTTTAGGGTTTTCCAGGCGTCGGGTCTAGGAATCCTTAGGTTCCGTTAATAATAATATTATTATTATTATTCTTATTATTATCAATGTTATCAGTATTATTATCGTTATTTCATGTCATAATATTTTTTGTTCTATTGTTTAATATTTCATTATTAGGTTCAGAGTTTAAGGTTGAGGGGTTTTGGGTTTAGGGTTGAGGGTTTACTGCGGGCTTACAGTAGAAGCCCAAAAGTTGGAAACCCAACAGCCCCAATCCCTAAGAGTAATGTCTAAGGAAAGCATTAATTGTCCTTAATCGGTTTCCAATTTTTTGGGTTTAGGGTTTAGGGTTTACTGCAGGGTTAACAGTTATTCAGGCTTCAGGCTTGTACAAGGTCTGGGGTTGAGGCTTAATCGGCTCAGATACAAACCCCGAACCCTATCCCGTGCGCTGGACCGGCCCTACCGTGGCAACAGTTCCAGCTATCTCACAGCTGCCGCAACATGATAACAACTAGACAAAACCCGATAACTATCGTTATATTGCTACAACAACATGTCGACCCTGGACATCCCCTACACCCTAAACTCGCCAGACACTGCAACAACCGCTTGCTTGGAAAAGCCCTCCCAACATGGGCGTGGAGACCCTAAACCCTAAACCCCAAACCCTACATACTGCTGATGATATAAACCCTGCATTACCGTAAGGACCTTGAACTTTGGGAATTATGGTATATTCCTTATTATGGGTAGTACAGGATTTCTATCATCAACCACAAGACCCACTTGCTTAGTTTCATCGAAGGATTTCGAAGTGTCTCTGGGTCGAAACCTATGCCTTGAAGCCTTAATTGAATGATGTAGGGGCTTTAATAATTAGATTAGGGTTTGGGGTATAAAAAACAATAAGTCTAATAAAGAATCCCCAAAACATTCCAAAACCCTGCTCTAATTAGTAAGGCCCTTACACTAACAACTTGAAAACCCGTGCGGCACCCGGTCTGGGGTCGGCACTCCAGCAAGGACTGTGGGTCCAAGTCGTCGCTCTCAAACATCCTGTCGAACTTGAACCTTTGCGACAGGTTCGGTACTTCTCGCCGTGAGGATGGAAGGTCTGAGGTTTCGGGCTTGGTGGTTTGGGTTTAGGGTTTAGGGTTTAGGGTTTAAGGTTTATAGGGTTTATAGGGTTTAGGGTTTAGGGTTTAGGGTTTAGGGTTTAGGGTTTAGGGTTTAGGGTTTAGGGGGGTTGGGGGTTAAGGGTTTTGGGGCATAGATCTTCATTTCTTCAAGGTCTCGGGCTCTGGGACACGCCTCTGTTCTGCGTCAAAGGAAACCTCGGCTGTAGGCCCCACTTGCTCCTACAGTAAATGTCTTGACGGGCCTCTACTGAAGCCCCTGAAGCTCACAAAACATCAACACACAAAAACAAGCACGCACGCGCGCACACACACACACATGCAGAGACATCAACACTCACACACGCACACATCACATGGGGCGGGTCTCTCCAGATGTCATGCGTTTAGTGTCGGCTGGGCTTTGGTTTGAAGCTCTAGGACTTCTGAACTACTTCATGTACTGCACCCGGACAACACGAAGGTTCGGCAATGCGTCTTCGAGGTATGAGAGGGCCAGGAGAAACATGGGGGCATAGTGGGCCGTAATGTACATGACACGAGCCCTCTACACTCGAGTGTATAAAAGGGAACTGCCTAGACTTGGGTTTGACAACAGAAGTACCCAAAGACGGGAAAGGGCCGGCGATGCTACTCAGCACTGAAGCGTCCAAACTGGCCGGTTTTAGGTTCAGGGTATGTTTCGAGGTTGAGGGTTTAGGAGCCCAAAGCACTCTGCAACAAAAGGCGCTCTTCTCAACCACTTTGGAGCCGGTGCGTTAATGAGGCTTCCTTGACATCTGGGCCAAGCCTGCCTCGCAAAAGTGGGCATCCGACATCACAAGATCACTCGCCTGGAGCCCCTGAGGCTGCTTGTCTAGCGATTATAACTTAGGTTCTTCCCCAGCTGCAGTCAGTATATCAGGGGCTCTGGAAAGGACCATGACCACTAAACATCCCCCAAAAGCATCTGCCTCACTACCAGCGAGGCCGTGCTTGTGCAGTTCTGTTGGCTGCCAGGGCAATCTTCAGCTCAAAATTTCGATCTCGTGGCGTTTTCCGTCTTATAACTCCCTGCTAGGGCTCGCAGGGATTGAGCTTGAGGTTCAAATGGGTTTCCGGTTTGTGAGTGGGTCTATGAGGCTGTAGGCAACAAGATTTCGACTTCAGGTTTGAGAGCTCGAAACCTTTATTTTTGGTTTGGGTTAAATATAGGGGCCTAAGTGATTACCAATACTATTCTGGGGGGGGGGG